AAATTTCTTATGTTTCAGATTGGGCAATTAACATTTATTGAAAAAGAAATACAAAGGTTTAAAGAAATATTTTTCTATTTGTTAATAATAAGTAGCAAAATTATAATATTTTTGATATAAGGTCCAAATTGTAAAAAAATATATCTATAAGCTATAAAATCTTATTGTTATTTTAAAGCCAAATAACAATCTATATAATAATTTAAATATTTATTAAGCAATAAATATGTATTTTGATGATATTGAAGTTGAGCAAAATAATTTTTTAGATATTTCTGCTAATCAAGCAATATTTTATAGATTAGTTTTGTTACATATAACAAAGCTAAAATTTAGTTATTACTAAGTAGCTGGCTTACAAATAAATATATATTAAATACTTTATTAGTAGTTTTTCCAGTTACACCATATATTAATTAGCAGCTAGCCTTAGTGTTTTTTATTTAAAAAAACTTAAAAAGTTGTAGATTATAAGACTATATGTAAAGTAGTTAAATTAATTTGGATCTCAGTAAGTGGTGCAATTGTAACTTATATAAAAGACAAAGAATTAAATTTATAAGATATAATATCTGGAAATAATAATGTTCTATAAGTTTGGTATTAGATTTTCAAATGAATAGAACTTTGAGTTTGTTATAAAATTGAAATTTAATATAAAAATTATTATATACAATATCATAATATATTTGCTTTTGCTTTTCTGTTTATAGTAGCTGATTAATATAACTATTCAGAATCTGTAACTTACTATTTAATCCAAGTTGACAATAATCATAATTTATAGGTTTTATTAGAATATGCATGTTCAATAAACATAACTAGATTAGATATTTTTTTAGTATATAATAAGGCAGTTAAATCTTTAAGAGTAAAATATATAAAACAAAATATGAAATAAAAATTGAATCTGTGCAATTAAAAAAAGAAAGATTGAACTTGTTGTTAAGTAAATTTATTGATAATTTATTAGCTATATATATCAATTATAATTTAAAATCAAAAAAGAAAGCATAATGAAAACTAACAAATGAACTTTTAGAAATATTTAATCTGCTTAATCTAGCAACTCATTATTTATTTCAAAGTACAAACCAAAATTATAGTAAAGAATTTTGTTTATTATAATATTAGTAAAAAAAGACTTTATAATATTTATAAACAGAATATAGAAAAAACTGTTAGACATGATTCAAATAATAAATATGCATATAATATAGTAGTTGATACTGATTTTTAATAAAAACAATAAGAGTTATAAAAAAAAGTGTAAAAAAATAAACAAAATAATTAGAAAAAAAAGCAAATGAAGAAAACACAAGCAATTTACACTTAATATATAAAAAGAATTTAAAAAATAAAAAATCTTTGATAATAAAAATAATTCAGATATCTAATATCAAAATGAGTATAAGATGCAAGATACATATCATTTCATTGACAATCACTTCACCAAACACCCCATCATACAGAGTGATAGTTAATATTTAATGATTGTTTGATAATTAATAATTATTGTTCAATATTACTCATTACACTGTGTGATAAGGTGTTTAGTGAAGTGATCGTCAATGAAATGATACGTATCCTAAGATGCAATAGTGTTAATTTTTCTGGTCTTGTAATTTATCATATCTTTAAGTAATATCAATTTTTTTTATTTTTTAATTGTTTCTTTATGCTTTAATATTACTAAAATATTTAAAATTATAACTATATGACCTATGCAACAGACTATAAAGTTAATGATAACTATTAGCTGAGTATAATATATAGTGATGAATATTTATTAAAATTAAAGTTCTATACAGATTCTTTTAACCTTTAGAGTATTATAACACTATTGCATCAGAGTAAGTATCTTAAATTATATTGTTAAGCACTAGGTGTATTTAATGTTAAATGAATAAAAATATTAAACCTTTTTTGATATATGTATCAATTAAATATTATATAACTCACAATTAATTTATATACTTTTTAAAGTTTTTAAGATAAACTCAAACTATTTATATGTTAAATAAAGTACATCAAGTATATCATTAATTAATACTAATAAAAAGTTAATGCTATTAACATTAAGTATTATTTTATTTTATTTTAAAGCACTCATTTAGAATACAGTCAACTTTACTTATAATGAACTGATAGTTCTTATAGTCAAAATTTTCAAAAGTTTTTTATAGAGTTATTTACTATGTTTTTAGTGTTAATTATACTTAAAGAATACTGAAATTATTAAAAATTCCTATAAAGTATACTACAAAAATAATCTAGTCTATACTTAGTTCAAGATGGATACTAGTACTTTATCTTAATAGTATATTGTAGAATATCATTTTACTTATACTAATGCTAATGTTTACAAAATTTAAAAGCCTATTGTAAAATTTATAAATTTTAAAGCATTATGAAATAATAAAATTCTTGAACTTTTAATCTTAAATTTTTGAAATAAAATGCTTTTGTATTTACATATTATAGTATTGATTATAATTTATATGTTTTTGAAAGATTGTAATAATATTATAATTTGAGCATATTAGGAAAACCACAACTATTATTATTTATCGTTATCCGTAACAATGTATAAAAGCTTAAAATAGGTTACTATTTCATTTAATCTTGAACTAAAATAATTAAACCTAATATATATTTTGTGTATTATATGATTACACATAAAATGTGAGATAAAATAAATTTTTGAGTGATAATTATAATTAATTTGTATGAAGATAATATTAGCATGAAACACATCTCTAGTTCAAATTTTATTAAAAAAGACTAATTTTTATTTATCTATTTATGATATTTTGTAATTTTATTAATTGTAAAATATTTGCTGAACTGTCCAATGATCAAACAAAAATATGTAATTCTGCTTGAAAAAAAGTTTGGTTTGTTAATAGATAAGAATCAAATATAAAATTAGCATATACTAAGCAAATAAAGATTTTGATCATATAATTAATTTAATAAATTACGATCAGACCTCTCTAAATGCAACTTTCCTGAATAAATACCCTACAAAGCCCATTTAAATGCATATCTTTATTTGGGTCCAACTAAGATCACTTATAGATTTTATCTTTCTAAATACACATTTAGCTAAATTTTTACATATGGTTCTGTCATAATGCATTTAGGAATGTCTGGTTATACCTGGTAATAATGCTTTTACAAAAAAAAACATTTGCCTAACTTTAATACCAGTCATTGGTATTTGTAAATATCTTTTTTTTTTAATTCCTCCAATAACAATACAATTTATGATATTCTGCTAGTATACTAAAGATTTTGATTATACCTAATACCTCTGTCTTTTTCAGCATCAATTCTATATTATATATTCCACAATTTTTTGAATTAAACATTCTTTTTATTTTCATTCCATATCAGTAACTTACTGCATCTCACAGATGTGATTATCCTTTATACCATCATAACAACTTTTTGGTTCAGAGTTCTGGTAATATTCAAATGACTTATTCTCATCCTTTTCGACATGGACCCATGCTGATAATGATAGAAAGCGAAAAAACAAAAATCTTATAAAATATTAAGCGATATGTTAGAAAATGAAATATTAAGAGACGTATTAGAAAATGAAGAGTTTGATGTGAGTATCCAGTATAGGGATTGGACCTGGATAGAAATTATTGCTATATGATTACCCAAAAACATAATATTTTATCCAGATAATTTAATAATACCCGGGTAAAGATTTTCTCAATGGGTCCAATCTTTAATTCAGGCTGTTCGTTTATGTCAAATTTTTACTAATCAAAGTTATTGTTTTACTTTAACATATATAATTCAGTAAAATAAAATACTTAATTTTCAAGTAATATCTTATCAGTCAGCATGCAGAGTTAATCACTGGAAAAGGTTATGAATCATAAAGAATCTTAAAAATTATTGATTTTAATTGTGCAAAGAAGACCCCCATATTCGTTAATAAAAAAACAACTTTTTACTCTGATTTTTGAGTAAATATAAAGCTGCTGTGATACAGAACATCACAAATAACAGTAGTAATAATAATGATAAATCAATTTTGCAAATAGTCATTTATAAATAATTTTATAATTGCGACAAAATAACTTGCAAATTATAGTGGTACAGATTGTGACATATCCTTTGACCGATATCAGAAATAGGGTGACTTAAAGAACATACCTGGTTGATCGATTTTTAAACGATTATGGTAGAATATCTGTTTTGACAAGATCGTCAACAGTATTCGCTTTTTACTTTCATTAATACATATTAAGTATTCAGAACGAGTTTTTTTTTTACAAAAAGTTTCCGATTTCTGCTCAATTTTCAATATAAAGAAGTAAAAAAACAAATGTATAGTTTTATCGCTTTATGTAATTTAAAAAAATTATTGTGTTAATCAAAATCCAGTACATATTGAACCATCGGAACTATAAATTTGATTGAGTTTAAACCTTAACTGATTTTTGGACGACGCTTAGTTCAATAGTACTTTTGAAATTGATGAAACTTACACAAAATTAAATGAAATATAAAATTGTAAATGTAATTTTCAACCTTCTAACCCAACCTACTAGCAAGACTCTAACTCTAAACTAATAGCGAAACCTTTTTTAGTGAAAATTTTTTTATTGGTTTTAAATAAGATCACATGATATGCGAAATTTTTTAGACTGGTATTACTAGTCTTATAATGCTTAGCCTCTGAGAATTCGAAGATTATCTCGGGAGATTAGAGATCGTTTACAGCCACAATTTTTTCTGCCATCTAAATTTGGAACTCTGCGAACATCATATTCATTGTCCGCAGTATAATCTGCAAAGGGGCCTTGTTAATCCAGTAGTGATCAGACCGTCACGATCATCGAAAGACAATCTTTGTAGTAGAGATGGAATAATAAATTCTCTAGCCTTAATAATACTTCAATAATTCCGTTCCTATTTGCATACATTTCAATGAGTTTAATTCTTTCATATACTTCATGATGAAACACATCAATATGAAATATATTGCTTTATTATTCTTTATTAGCAAATCTGCCGCTACAACTTTATGCGGTACCATAGTTCATAGTGTTGCAACTGTCGCCTTTGGAAATTATTTATCCGCTTCCACTGGCTTATTGTTGACTTTCTTTCGAAATCCTGACAAAGACGATAAAACATTCTCAGCACAACTAAGAAGATATATAATTTTCACTGCGACCGTCCAACTATTAAGTGTATTATGCCTTATGACCTATATGACCACCAGATTCTTCCAACTTAATAGTGAAACTTTACCTGATTTGCTTCGTAAAGACTCTGTGTTCATGTATTCTATTTGTGCTGCGAGCTCTTTAACTACTTTCGTGAAGATTATTTATGTTACTTCCCACTCTAAGAATTATTTGGAGGATTTTTTTGATCCTTATTCAAAAAAAAATGTAGCTCCTGCACTAAATAGTTATGCACTAAATAGACCTATGATTCCGCAAGAAAATGAAAAACACACCCATCTTGAAATGTTGGCGAATCCTCTCACCATCATTCAAATCATTTTTTATATTATGATCTACTTTGGTCAAATGGTTTTTCAAATATATATGAGAATCAAATTTCCAGCTCCTGGATATATGAATACATTTCAAATAATTAGCATACTTTCTATGTTGTCCGCTATTCCGTTATTTTTAATAGTCAAGCATTGTACTAGATCTCAAAAATTCCTTTACGTTTTTATATATCCTTTTGTATTTCAGATATATTTACACGCTGGATATATTAGCTTTTATCTATATTGTGATGAGGGTTATTTATCTTCTACATTATTATTTGTTAGTAATTTCGCTTTAAGTAATGTTCTTCGCGGTGCTTATTACTTGACTTTCGGGGAAATGAAATAATGAATGATATATATTTATTTATATATATATGTTGCATCTAAAGTAGCGATTTATCTAAAGTAGCGCCTGGCTAAAATTAAGCCCCTGAAATTAGATCTTCATGCAT